TTTCCCATTGATCCTTTGAGGTAGGTTTGATGATCATTCCCATTTTACAGATGAGGAAGCTGAGGCTCAGAGAACTTGAGATAATGTGCTCATAGTCTCACAGCTAGTGAGTAGAGGAATTAAATTTCAAGTAACCTGACCCCAGAGCCTGTACTTTAACTTACTAAGCTTTAAAACTAGATGACACGGGGTTTCTCTTAAGGATAATGGAAAAATATGGACACAGATAGTGGTAAGAGTTGTACAACATGATGAATGTAATGAATATCACTAAATTGCACATGTAAAACATGTCTAATGTGAAGTGTTTTGTTGCGTTTTTACCATAATTAAATAAAATGGAGGGAAGGAAAGAAACCCCAAAGAAACGAATAATTAGATGAGTCCATGCAGTCCGTGTAACCCATTCCTTTGTTCTATAGACTAAGAAATTGAGGATGTTTAGGGGCTTGCCCCAGATCACATAGCTCATTAGAAGTAGAGCTGAAACTGATACTTATACATGTCTGCCAAAAGGGGACATTAATGCTTGGAGTCACTTAATTAAAGCAGCCTGGCCTGTTCCTTAATGCCTCCCCACTCTTCATGGTACATGGGTAGGCCTCATAGCTGATCTGGGGTACACATTCAAACATATTGCAATGGAGTTGTGTGTACCACAGGCCAAGTTTTTGTTTCACTTTTCAAAAGCTAAAAAAAATCACATCTCTCCATCCTACCCCATCTATATCAAGCTTATACACTCTCATCTGTATCAAGCAGCCTCACCCCCATATAATCCTCAAATGGAAAGTCCCTTTTTATTTCTGTCTGTCCATCCTGATTAAATGCCCTGTCATCACAGCCACAGCCCCGAATGGGGCTGCTATCTTCTGTAAGTGGGATCATTTCCATCATCCTAACTTGGTATCTGCATCTCCAGGTAGGCCCTCTTTTAAACTATCTTTCACATGTTGTCATTGTTAGGTGCTGTCGAGTTGATTTTGACTCATAGCAACCATATAGGACAGAGTAGAACTGCCCCATAAGTTTTCCTAGTCTGTAATCTTTATGGAAGCCTATTGCCAAGGCTTTTCTCCCATGGAGCTGTTGGTGGGTTGGAATTGCCCACCTTTTGGTTAGAATGAAGCACTGAACCATTGCACTACCAAGGGTCTTATCTTTTACATTGCAGTGGAGAAATCCAAGACACAAGTTGGACCTCCATATTCTCTCTGCTTGGCTCATTTCTCTAACACTTCAGACACCTTAGAATGACCTCCGAAAAGTTTTACAAATTGTACCTCCACCAGTCATTGTAGCCTCTTTGCTTTCTATTCCCGTGTATATGTTTCAGCCACTCTGACCCACTTTCAGTTCCAACACACCCACTGGTGTCCCTGTGCCTTTACACAGTATGTTCTCTGTTCTGAGAATTTCCTGCAGTCAATTCTTCAGCTGACCACTCCTGACATATTTCAAAATTCAACTTAAGGTTCCCTCCTCCTGAAGTTTTCCCTAAATGCCCTGGAAGCAAAGGTAGATACTCCTGCCTTCTTACCACCCACCACCATTCAACTTATACATGTGCCATAGCACTGTTGTGTTGTCGTTACTGTAAACTGCCACTGTGTTGCCCACCCCCACCCCCAGCTCTCTTTCCTTCCTTTGAGATATGTATATTAGGTCACTTGAAGTTGCTCACAGTTCACTGATGCTCTTTTTCTCTGTCTTTTGTTTTGGATAGTTTTTATTGCTGGATTCTCAAGTTTACTGACACCTTCTTCTGCAGTTTCTAATCTGCTGTTAATCCCAAGCAGTGTATTTCTCATCTCAGATACTAGAGTTTTCATTTCTAGAAGTGTGATTTGGATACTGTTGTTTCAACTTTTGTCTTTTCTTTGCCTAAACTTCACTTTTTGAGCACGTGGAATAAAGTTATATTTTTCCATATCTAATAATTCTATTACCTGTGTCAGTTATGGGTCAGTTTTGATGCATAGGCTTTTCTCCTCATTAGGGATCCCATTTTCTTGCTTCTTTGCAAGCCTGTTAGCCTTTAATTAGGTCATGACATTGTGAATTTTGCTTTTTTAGGTGATGGGTGCTGTTATATTCCTATAAATATTTTTTAGCTTAATTTAGGGATGCAGGTAAGTTATTCAGAAATAGCTTGATTATCTTGAGTCTTGCTTTAAAGATTTGGTAGGCAGGACCAGGACAGATTTTAGACAAGGGCTAATTATTTCCCACTGCTGAGGAAAGATCGTTTTGTACATTCTTCTCAATTTCCTGTGTCTGGAGGTTTTCCAGTCTAGCTGGTAGAAACTGACCCTATTTCTAGTCTTGTAACTGGCTACTATTATCTCTAATTCTTTTGGATGATTCTTTCCCCGGCTTCAGGTAGTTTCCTCACATGCATGAACTCATCAGTACTCTGCTAAAAAGGGATCCTCTGAAGTTCTCAACATTTCTTTCTCTGTGCAACTCTCTCCTCTTTGGTACTTATCCAGTGAACACTAAACTCCTAGACTCTCAGTTCTGTTTCTTCAACTCAAGGAGTGCACTATACTGTCTGTGGTCCCTCCTTCATCCTGTGGCCTGGAGACTCTCTCAAGGCAGAGAGGTGGGGCAATCACAGGACTTACCACATTTGTTTCCCATCCCTCACTGCCTGATGTCCAATGCCTTGGAAGCTGCTGCTTCATGTATTTTGTATGGTTAGTTGGTTGTTTCAAGTAAGATAGTAAATCTGGTCCCTATCACTTCTTCTTGGTCAGAAAGTCAAAGTCAAGATGTATATGACATAAATGATTGAAGCACCTTAGAATAATCACTCAGGGAATAGTGGGGACCATGGAGAATGGGGGAGCACAAATGCCATCTAAACAAAGCAGGAGACACTCAGATCCAGCTGACAGTTGCCACAATAAAATAAGTGCCCAGGATTACCACATTTTCTGCCCTCCCCCCACCATTCTGGGTTTATGGGATGCTTCTTGATTTTAAAACACCATGCAGGTACATCAAACATGCAGGCTGACTCTGGTCCTCTAGCCACCAGTTCTGACTCTCATATGTTAAGGTCTCTTGTTTGCATAGAATGATAGTCTTTCTCTACTGTAGCAACACATTTCTGCATTGATAGAAATGTTCTGTGTCTGTGCTCTCTAATATAGTAGCCACTAAACATAAATTACTACTGAGCCCTATTGCGTGGTCCCTTAAGGAACTGATTTTTTTTTTTTTTTAACTTAATTTAAATTTAAATAGCCATATGTGGTTTGAGTAAACCCTTAGGAAGAGCAAACAACCCTCAATGATACTTGTCCTTGGGGACCGGCAGCAGCCAGAGGCAAATCCTTATTCTTCTCTGTCTTCATCCATCCAGCCAATGATGTCCTTGGGTGTAGCAAATGGTTAACATACTCTGCTGATAATGGCAAGCTTGGAAGGTCAAGTCTACGCAGAAGTGCCTCAGAAAAAAGACATGGAAATCTGCTTCCAAAAAAATCGTTGAACACCCTATGAAGCACAGTTCTACTCTGACACACAAGGGAGTCTTCGTGAGTCAGAATTGACTTGATGGCAATTGGTGGTTTCAGACAAGAGAAACCTGATAAGCATGCTAAAATTGTTTTCCTTAATTAAGGTACTCTGGCAGTCCTGCCAATTCATGAGACCTCCTAACCTCCTACTCCATTGGCCTACTCTATTTTTATCAATATGTGCTCTGAGACCCTGAGAGCAAGAGAAGGTATCTCAGAGAATCCCCAGAGTAGAGGTCTGAAACTGATGGAACCCCAGAAAAAAAATGGCTCATAGATATGCCTACTTTGGCTTTCACCATGTTTAAAAATATTTGCACCAACATTTAAAAATTGAGATATATTGCATAAACCCCATATTTTTTTAACTTTTCTTGGGAACTTCTAAGATCAAGTGTCTCTTGTTCCACATTGACTGGAGGTGAGTGGCTGCTGCTATCTTTGAATGGAGAATATGACTTCTGATTTATCACAGTCCTCACCGTTCCCTATTGTTTCACCAACAGTGAGGGTTTTATTTCTTATCTTTCATCATCATAATTGTGCTATTGTTTTTATGGCAGTAAAGAAATATTTCTCCACATCCACATTTTATTCAATGGTAGTATAACAAAAAATAAATCAATTGGGCTTTGTGGTTTTCAGCTCAGCTCATTTTACACATTTATATCACATACCGGACCCTTAAATACATTTGAGTATATGAGAACTTTATTATTAAAGTTTATTAAAAAACACATAGTACAATATGCATATTGCAACTACTCATTTCGGCATCCATGGCAGATATCAGTAAATGATCATGGCTCCTTTTCCTTAGGAATTTTCTCAACACAACACCCCTGACAGCCATTTCTAAGTAGTCAGTTTTGATGAACAAAATGATGCCCATTGCCATCTTTTATCTAGTCCAAAGTTCTCATTTTAAATGTCTGGAAACTCTGTAATTCCATAAGCAATCACCAAGTCAGTAGTGATGACATGAGGAAATCTTAGTTCTCTTTACTGGTACTATTTTCTTTTTCTTCCACTGTGCAACCCACTTCAGTGCCTGTAGCCTATGGGCAAAGAGGCCAGGCAATGGTTTGGGGCTACTGTATGCTCTGGCATGGGACACTATGAGAGGCCCACAGGGACAGGCCTACTATAAATCCAAACCCATGCACTTGACTGGTGCTATTTGCATAGACCCATGCCACCTCATCAAGAAAAGAAAAAATGAAAACATGATTCAGAGTCAGGCTTGTCTTTGGCAAGAGCAGCCAACACACAAGATCGGCTGGATCAGTTACTTCCTTTCTCCAACTCATCGTATAAGTTCTCTTTCTCATACCCTGTCCTTGCACACATCCTTCCTACTCACTTTCCCATTTCAAAGTAACAGTGATAATTAACTGTTTCAGCTCCCCCAGGATTACCCTTATTCTAGTCTCTGTTGCCCAAACCATCCAAAGAGTCAGGGGGAGTACTTACGGCACCCGGAGCTTGGGAAACTTCTGGATATCATTTTCTGCCAGGTTCTGAAATCAAGACATACATGGCAGGCAGTTTACAACCCATAAAAAAGGCTCTTCACCAGGTGAATAGAGTAAGGAGTGATCAATAGGGAGTGGTGGGGACTATGGCAAACTGAAGAGTATGTCCTTTCCTACCCAAAACTTCTAGCTATTGCATAAAAGCCTGTGGGCCTGGTATTGCTGGGTCTTTTATTACCCACCCCCTGAAGGAAATCTTCAAATCAAGACTTTTATATGTCATTTTGTGAGTTCTAACTATTGACAAATAATTTTAATTTAAATAAACAAGTACTATGAGGGCTAAATTTGTGGGAGACCAAATAGAGCTTGTTTAGTGGAATGAATTTGACTATCTTGCAGCCTCATCTCTAGGCTCTTGCTCTAGACTTCTGGCTCTTTTAGTCTCCATTCAAACTACTGTAGAGAAGCCAACCTAGAGAAGAGTTCTGTGCCTTTTATTACCATTATCACACCCAACACGTTGATAGCCTCATTCACCAGGTTTATTGGTAAAATTCTCTACATGTGGGAATGTAATAAAGGGGCTTTCCAACTCATATTGGTGAACTGACTCTGGATCTCTGCCTTATAATATCTTTATCAATCCTCAGATCAACCCTATGATGTAGGAACTATCAGTGTTCCCATCTTGTAGGTAAGAACCAAGCTGGGACTTGGGAAAGTTAAAGAAATCACAGCTTGTGGATGATGAGGCTGGGGCTGGAACCCTGCTCTATGGCATCCACCATCTATTTTTTCCTGCAAGCACCAGCACCACCCTCCTTCTTCTGTGTCAGAGCCTGCACTGCATTGTGAGGAGGGTGAGGAGGGTAAGAAGGGTGAAAAAGAAGGCATCTTGAAGAGAGGAAGAGAGGCAGGGGTGCTGACACTGAGAACAGAAAGGAGAATGGCCATGCTTTCTATAGAACCAATGACAGCCAATAAAAGGGACCAAGACTCAGGCAAAGATCTGCTGGTAGCTTCATTACATTCTGAATAAGGCCAGAACGCTGGGTGGCCAGGGTGGGTGCCCTGGAGTCAGATAGCAAGTAGAGGTTCCTCCACTTAGCAACTGTCTTAACTTCTCTGAGCTTCATTTTCATATCTATAAAATGGGGTCATAATAATAATAATAATACAGTTGTGAGTTTTGTTTTTAGTTTTTGAGCGTTGTGAGGATTGAGTAAGATAATGCATGTAATACACTTAGCACAATGTCTGGCACATAATATGGTTATTGAAAAATGGGGGAGTTAGGGGAGAAATTACTGCCCAGGGGCAGGGAGTTGCTGTGGCTCTGGCTGACTCTGGATGTAGGGGTGTTTTTGTGTCTTCTTCCCCTCTGGGCTGGGGGCTGCCTGTGAGGTTGTTGCTGCCTGTTGGGAAGAGCTGGCACCCTTCTCTTTGGTGCTCAGTGGCTCAGGGGATGGGACTGGGACATGTTAAAAACCAAAACTAAACTAATTCTTATTGAGTTGACTGTGACTCATGGCAACCCCACGCGTGTCAGAGTAGATCTTTGCTCCACATGGTTTTAAATGGCTGATCTTTCAGAAGTAGATTTCAAGGCCTTTCCTCTGAGACAGCTCTGGGTTGACTAAAACCTCCAACCTTTGGGCTGGCAGCCAAGTGCGTTTACAGTTTGTACCACCTAGGGACTCCTGGGGCATCACAGCAATGTGCTTATTGGGCTCATCTGACCCAGCTTTTAGGAGCAATTTCTGACTTAGCTAGCTTATCAGGCCACCTGAGGTAAAGCTGCGTGGGTGAAGAGAGTCTGCCAGGAGTCCTGAGACAATCAAGCTTTGTGGTCAAGACTCAACTCTTTATGTTTTCTTTACTTTTTTTTTTCATTCAATAACTAAACAATAGCTTATCTTCCCTCCAGAACCACTGGATCTCAGGGAAAGTACTAGCTCATGTTCAAAGTGTGTAGGATGAGTTGAGGGCCTCTTGGGGGTGAGGGGATGGTAATTGACTGCTGAGTAGCTGGCCACGAGCTCCTATTTTGCTGAATGAAAGGTATAAAGTGAGGGGATATCAGGAAGAGTGTGGAGAAGAAGGTGGAAAAGAGCATGACTAGGGAAACAGAGGAACAGGATGTTAGGCAAGAGGTTAAGTCCTTTTAAACAGGGACAGAGACTTTGACGGAAAATGAGAGATGTTTAAACAGGATATCTTTTTGGAGAATTTTTCTGTGTGATGTAACCTCCTCCTTATCTTCCTTCAAAAACCTTAGGGAAACTCCAGGTTACTTGTACAATCATTTTGGGGTTAGATTTGTGGCTTTGGGCAGAGTATGAGTCTATACTGAGGGTGTCTGGAAGGGATACAAAGAGAGAAAAAGCTAGGAATTGGGTCCCGCCTACAGAGGTGATGTGGGTGGCACAACTGCTGACTAACCCAAGGTCTGTTTTCCCTTTCTTTCTTCCTGACCAGTACCAGTTGTCATGGGGTCAAGCTTGACTCAGGTGATAGCATGTGTGGTGCAAACAGTGTACACCCCCAGCTTCTAGCTGAAAGGTTGAAGGTCCAAGTGCACCTACAGGCACTTGGAAGAAAGGCCTGGCTATCTATTTCTGAAATATCAGTCACTGATAATCTCTGGATCAGATGAGCGCAATAAGCACACTGCCATGATGCCCTAGGAGTCCCTAGGCGGTACAAACTGTTAATGTACTTGGCTGCTAGCCCAAAGGTTGGAGGTTTGAGTCTACCCAGAGCTGTTTCAGAAGAAAGGCCTTGAATTCTGCTTCTGAGAAATCAGCAATTTAAAACCTTGTGGAGCACAGATCTGCTCTGACATACATGGGATTGCCATGAGTCAGAGTCGACTCAACAGGAACTGGTTTAGTTTTGTTTTTTAAGTGGAGCACAATTCTACTCTGACATATGTAGGGTAGCCAGGTCCTTCCTGACAGGACCCAGACATTTTTCAATGTGCCCAGCTCTAATATTTAACTCCATAGACATCCTTGTAGCTGGCAGTGGACATCTGACTTCAGTTGTGGCTAGTGAGACATATGGTCTGAAGTCCGCTTAGTTGAGCCTCTGGAAAAAATTACTGTATGTCAAGAAAACAAAACAAAATAACAGAAACAACAATAAAAGAAAAAAATAGGGAGAGAGTCACTGTGTAACTTTTACTTTTTGTATCACCCCCTCCTTCTGTGAGGCAGGTGGGATGCTTAGAGGGAAAGTATACAACTTGTAAACACAAGGGAGAAGCCACAGGCTCTTCCACATGTGAGAAGGAGCCTGTTTTTGATGACTTCTGTGAGCAACATGCCAGCCCTGGGCATCTACCTACACATTTCTTATTTCTTGAGAAAGATAAACCTCTATTTGGTGACAGCACTGCGGTCAGGTTTCTGTTACATGTAGCCACATGCTTTCCTAACTGACTCAGGTTCCAGGCATATTTCCTTCTCTCCTTCCATTTTCTGAAGCAGAGCACCCATCCCCTTTCCAGACAAACTGCTGTCCTTCCCACTGGGGGAAAAATGGCAGCAAAAGAATTCCTTTCTCTTCAAAGAGACAAGCTAACTCCTGCTCTGAAAAAGAAAGGAAGAAAGAAAGGAGGGGAGGGAAGAAGGAAGAGAGTGAAAAGAGAGAAGGGGAAAAAATTTAGGATGGAGGAAGAGAAGAGAAAAAGGAAGAAAGAAAGAACGATCAGGGCCTTCCACTCTGCCTTTAATAGCAGAATGGCCCTAGATATTATAGACAAGAATGCCAAGCTTATTTATACTAGAGTCCCGTATTGTACCCAGAGTGCCTAGTATGGGGCAGAGTGGGAGAATCTCAGCCGAAGCTGAGACAAGTATGGCGTTCTGCTGCTTCCTGCTCTCTTGTCTAGTATCTTCCCTCTTTCTACTTCCTCCTGCTCCACATGTAACAAGTAGAATGTGCTGCAACCTCTGAGGGCCTGATGGTCCTAGAGATTAGAGCAGGGGAGACATGGCTACTCAGATACCATCCCCCAACCAAAGACATGGCCTGAAACATGCACAGGGAGTGTACAGGGGAATCACAGAGCCAGAAGGGCCTGTCTCTGGACATCAGGCACAGGGCATCAGACTGCTACCAGGACCAGCCCTAAAGATGTCATGCTCCCTTTCCACTCAAGCAGGGTAAGTCTGTTCTCAGCGCTAAAGGCACCAGGATGAAGCTTTAGCAGTGATATGTGAGAATACCAACAGCATGACTCCAGCAATCGTACTGGCTCAACAGCTCAGTACAAACAGCATTGCTAAGACTTATACAGTACTCGACTAAATTAAATATATGCTTCAGTCTATTTAATAGGTTTGTCCCTTGGAGTGAGTCACATCACACCTCTGTATATCGATTTCCTTATCTGCAAATGAGGTGGTTGCAGGGCTTCCTGAAGATACCTATCTGCTATAAAACAAGCTTCTGGAAGGCAGGGATCATACACTAAATCACTCTAAGCAACTGGCAAAGCCTAGTATATAAGAGGAACTCAGGAAATGCTTGCCAAGTGAATGGATGAGTGAATGAATGAATAAACAATTTAATGGAATAGTAATAGACATGTCTTATATAGTACCTAAAAGTGAAACTAAGACCAATGTTGTTGTTGTTGTTGTTGTTATTTGCCATCGAGTCAGACCCGACTCATAGCGACCCCTCCTTGGGTTTCCGAGACAGTATCACTACGGAAGTAGACTGCCCAACCTTTTTTCCGAGGAGTGGCTAGTGAGTTTGAACTGCCAGCCTTCTGGTCAGCAGTCAAGTGCCTTTGGCACTATGCTACCAGAGCTCCCACTAAGACCAACAAGAAGATAAATTTAGTCTCAACATGAGACTTCAGCTAGGGCCAGAAAGGAGCAGATGACTATTGACGACAGTGAGCTCACCATCCTTGAAGGAGTTCAAGTAGATGTTGACAGCACAGGTGTCCTGGGAAGAAAACTGGAGTATATGACCTCTCTGGCTTTGTAATCCTGAAATCTCATGGCCAAGTTTCATTACTGTGTAGATCTTGCAGGGAGTCATGGCCTAGATTGCCCTCCTTACTCTGAATCCAAATTAGGAACATCTACCTCAGGAGACCTTTGAAGCTTTGTTCCCACTTCTGTTTTAAAGGGTGAAGAACATTGTCCAGAAGAAATAGATTGGTCTAGTCAGGATCTCTCTTATGCATAGACAAAGTTGTCATTTCAGGGAAAGATATGCTCAGACAACCTCCACAATATCCTAATGCCTTTATCTTCACCATTAGAGCTGCATCCCTTTCCCATTAATGGCTTGATCCTAAATATATAGCTGCATTTAAAAATTTTTTGAAATATAGTGGAGAGAGCCATATCACAGGGGCATTATATTGACACAAAGCTAACTATGTGAATTTGGTAGTGAGAAAAGGCAAATAATAAAAATAAAGAGGTTGAATTCACTCTTTATTTTTCTCATTGAGTGTGCACTTCAGAGTGAGAAATGGGAAAAGAAAATATATTCCCTCAGATGGTCTCCCCCTCACCCAGGCTTCTCAAAGTACGGGTAGTGTTTGGATAGATTTTTAATTGTGTGTGTGTGTGTGTGTGTGTGTGTGTGTATATATATGTATGTATTTATCCTTGGGTTCCTCCTTTAACCTTGACTTTGGAGCATATCTCAGTGTCAGTGCAAGAGCTGAGAGGGTACTCCATAGAAAAATTCTGAGGTTGGTGAGAAAGAAGTTCCTGGCAAACTTCTGAAGAGGACAAAGGGCTGTGTGGGGATCTTGAAGATAAGCATTAACCTTGGCCAGCCTCAGGGATAAGGTAGACCAGTTGGCCCTGCAGTCACTGGGGAAAATACAGAACATCCCTAGTTTCAGTGTTTGATTGGCCAGAACTTACCAGAAATCGTGGCCCATCAATGTGATACTTCTTCACTGCCTTTTCACAGTCTTTGTAGTTCAGCTGCAAAGAGAAGGGGAAGATCTTGTCAATAGTAGGCTCATGCCATTAGCTCCCCTCCTTTGCCTGCCCCAGAAGCTTAGCAATTTGTGGTATTTGTGGCTAGCCAGACTCTCCCCTTCTCTCACCTGTCTAGAACCCACCCCTACATCAGCCCTCAGCCCTCAGCCCTGCTTTCACTACTCCTCTGGGGCTATGTGAAGTGGAAAAATGCCTCAGTTTAAGCCCCTACAGAAAGAAGCTGTCTTCAAGACATTCAAAGGACTGGTTAAAGAGACCTTCCTGATTATATAAGAATCATTTGCTCTTGAAAGAAGTAGAGAGGAGCTAAATGAAGAAAATATATACTATACATTGTCTCACCACTCAAGGACAACCTTGGTGAACATTATGGTGTGTTTTCTTCAATGTTTTTTCTAAGCATAATTCTAAATATAATTGAGATTATAATTTATATTTAATCTTGTTAGCCTGATTGTTTTCTCTTAAAATTACTTAAAATGATAAGAATTGTCTCATATAGTTACAAACTTAATTTTAAGCAATATTTTAATGACTACACTATTATTTAATTATTCCCATACTGCTGAGCATTTAGTTGTTGTCCAAAATTCGCTGTTCCATAACACTAAGAATAATTGCTAATAGTTATTGAGCACTTGCTATATGACAGACACTGTTGTAAGTATTGAAACTCATCTTAAGTCATTTCTCACATTTTGCAGAAGGGGAATACAAAGTGCAGAGAGCTGAATGACTTGCATGAGGCTTCATGAGTAGTAAATGACAGAGGTGATAATCTGCCTCCAGAGTAAGGCTCTAATGTCTCTGTTATGAATATTACCTTTCTCAAAGCATAATAACTTATGTGTAGTAAGTAAAATCAGCAAACTTAAGCATATAACTCAATACATCCTCTAGATCAAGATACAGTACATCAAGGTCATTCTTTTGCATATAGTTTTGTTTTCTCTCTCTATGTAAGATAAATTGTTTGAAGCCAATTCTTAGAATAGAGTTATAAGATAAATAGAAATGAGCATTTTGAGGGTCTTGGTGCTTTCCTAAGTAGCTCTGGTAGCACAGTGGGTAAGGAATTTTGCTGCTAACCAAAAGGTCAGCAGTTCAAACCCACCAGCTGCTCTGTGGGAGGAAAGTGAGGCAATCTATTTCTGCAAAGATTGACAGCTTTGGAAACCTTATGGGCATCACTATCAGTCAGGATCTACTCAGTGGCAGTGGGTTTGTTTTTCTTTCTTTCTTTTTAATTTTTTTAGTGCTTTCCTAAAGGGTCATGCTAATGTATAAGCTTATGAGGTATCAATTTCCCCCTGTCCTCAACAGCAAAAAGCATTCACATTTTAAAATCTCTCTGAATGGATGTTTTGGGCTAGAATAAACCAAAAAACCTCACTGTCGTCTCGAGTTGGTTCCAACTCATAGTGACCAGCATTGGGTTTCTGAAGCAGTAAATCTTTAAGAAAGCAGATTGTGCCATCTTCCTTCCTTGGAGTGGCTGGTGGATTTGAACCACCAACCTTCTGGTTTGCAGTCAAATGCTTAGGCATTTTGTCCCAAATTTTGGGGGCTAAATTAAAATCATATTCTTTTCCTAAAGTACTCATTGCCGTCGATTTGGATCCAATTCATAACAACCCTTCCTTGGGTTTCCAAGGCAGTATCAATACGGAAGTAGATTGCCCAACCTTCCTTCCGAGGAGTGGCTGGGGGGTTTGAACCACTAGCCTTCTGATTAGCAGTCAAAATGTCTTAGGTAGTATGCCACCAGAGCTCCCATTCTTTTCTTACAGCCAACAAATACAAAAAGTACCTACAATTATTGTACTTTTGGCCTGAAATGGTGACAGAATATCATCTTCAGAAGGCTGGTTTAGAGGTCAACGTTGAAAGCAAGAAACGTCCGAGAAACCATACCAGTAGCTATCAAGTGGACTTTAACTCACGGGAGTCCATGTACATCCAAGTAGAACCGTGCTCCACAAGGTTTGCAATAGTTGATTTTTTGGAAGTAGATCACAAAGCCTTTCTTCCAAGAAGCCTCTGAGTAGACTTGAAACTCCAACCTTTTGGGTAGCATTCAAGCACATTAACTGTTTGCACCACTCAGGGATTCTGAGGAACTGTAAGCATGCCTTTTATCTGCATATTATATGTTGTAAGTGGTTCTTGGAATGTCCAACTATTTTCAATTCATAATTTTCACTGTCATCATTATCAGATGAATCTTAGGGTTCTGTGCTGTCTTTGACTCTGGGCAGATAAACAACCCAGCAGCCTGTGGCCTAGAAGCTTGATTCTGATCCAGAAATTTGGACCCTGGGGTTCTGAAATGTATATTTTTATATTTATTTATCTCTTTTTTTAAAATATGGTTAAATGTATAACACAAAAATTTGCTGTCCTAACCAGTCTTCAGTGCACATTTCAGTGACATTCATCACATTTGCCATGCCGTGCAAGCATCACCACTTTCTAGAATTTATATTTTTAACAAGCACCGTAGAGGATACTTATGAGCAGCCAGCTTTGGTAGGCACTGGTTTAGACCAGTTCCTGGCATTGTAGGTGACATGATTGAGGCCCAGAGACTGAAAGGGCCTTGCTTAAGTTTGTACAATGAATTGGAAATACAGTTGGGATTAGAACTCATGGATCTGAGTCAGGACCTCTCTACTGTGGGGCACAGGGATGCTCTATAGTCAAATGAAAAAAAAAAAAAAAAGGAGAGATTAAAGAAATGCAAATCTTGGTATCAGTCCTCAGAGGCTTATATTCCAGGCAAGGGATGAGATAGAGCACCAGGAACAAGAAGACGCAAAGGCCTGACACAGGCCCACCAGCCTCCATGGACCTCTCCATCCCAGGTCCAGTTAATCAGAGCAGGAAAAAGGGAAGAGTTGAACATGAATTGGCCCTCTTCTCTCTGCTAAATGTCCCCCATACATTATGCCCTTTAATCCTTACAACATCCCATGATATTAGTTACTATTAAACAAACCAACTAGCTGTGATGGATTCAACTCTGACTCACAGCAACCCCCTGTGTGACAGATTAGAATTGTATATCACAGAATTTTCAATAACTAATTTTTTCAGAAGTATATTGCCAGATCTTTCTTCTGAGGTGTTTCTGAGTGAACCTCCAACCTTTTGGTTAGCGCCAAGTGCATTGACTACTTGCATCACCCAGGGACTCCTAGTAACAATATCTCTGTTTCACTGATGAGGAAGCTGAGACACAGAGAGGAGAAATAATGAAAGAAAGGTCACCAAGCTGGCAGACAGCAGAGACAAGATTTACACTGAGGTGTGTCTGACTCCAGAGCTGGGATGGGACATCTTTGAGGGTGGCCCAATCCCATTGTCTTGTTAGGAACTGCACTTGCCAATGAGTCCTTTCAATGGCACATTTGATCACTAACAAGACCAAGTTGTCCATTTATTTGGTATTTCTCTCTGGGAGATAGATGGAGATACTCAGGATCCAAAGGCGCCTGACTCTTTGGTGGGCTGGTCCTTCCTAGATCACAGACTCCTCTCAGTATCATCATCCCTCCATTGATTCTTTGATGCTGGAAAGAGAAATCTGCCGAGGTGCTGTGAATTTGTCCCAGGGTCTGGGCTCTCCAAGAATCAAATTCTCCCTTTTCCTAACTCAGTCAGAGAGACATCTTTCTGAATCACCCTGACCTATATTCCATTTCCCTGGACTGAGGGGAACTGTACCCATGAATTCCTCTGTTGTTAGATAGGCTGTGTCATTGCATTTCTCAGACTCTAAGATGGGGCCCATCTGTTCCTCTCAAAATGTGCCCAGACTGTCCTTTACCAATGCTCACTTCTTTCCTCCTTCCTTTCCTGAGATAGGGAGCCATGTTATCCCATATTAGAAAATCTTACCTTGGTACTCTTACTTAGTTGATCTATATTTAAGAAAAGTATTTAGAAATACTGTTTGAAAATCAATTGTCAAGTCAATGATCTTTGCAAATACAATGCTGAAACCTAAGTTTATTCTGACCTTTTGGAGGGAAAATACCAGATATGAGATGCACAAAAAGCAACAAATAACATGATCTATGGTCTGTGCCTCTGCCATGACACACCTAATTCCACATTTTATCATTTTCATCTTCTTGATTGGGAAAGGACAGTGTGACTATAAACTCCTTGACATTATGTAGCCCCAGGTTTGCCTGTGTGTCCTAGGGAGCCTGTTCTACCCTTTGGGTCTCAGTTTCCCCAGGAGAAATAAGAAGTTGATTTATATGACCTCTATGGTCTTCACTAGGTGAAAAGGCCCCATTTTTAGGATTATCCTGAATGTCAGCTAAATTTGTTGCCAGTTCCAGGGATGCAGATGTTAGAACTCAAATGTCCCTCACAAGACATCTTTCCCTTGGACAGAGATAAAGGGTTCCTAACTGAGTCTTGTGGTTTGGGGAATGACAAAGCAGATGAGGTCTCCATAGGTTCATGACCACATATCCCAGAACATCTTCCCCAATGCTGAAAGGTTGGAAAGCAACACTCCGCTCCTAGGTCTGCCATAACCTTGACCTCTGACCCTTCCTGGCCTCTTCCACCCTGGGGCCTAAGTTTTCCCACCTGTAAACTGGGTTCATATACATTTTTTGCCCTGCCTTCCAAGACTCACATAAAGTAAGACTTTGCCCTATGTAATGACTTGAGGACCCTCTTTTCAGGGTCATGAGCAATGAATGTTCAAACACCCATGTGTAGCATTATTTATCATAGTCCTCTATGGCCCCCATCCTGCCCTTTCTTTCTCCTTCCCCTAGGACTCCATATCTTTCCTTCTAATAAGATCTCATTAACATTTACTGCAGTTCTCTGAGTCTCAGAGTACAGACAGGTGAGGCAAAAATCCTGCCTCTGTCACATGGAATCTTTTGGGTTTTGGGCCACTTAACCTCCCTGACCTGATTTTGTTGCTGAGCCAAGGGAACAATATTGACCTCACAGGGTGTTAGTGATTGTTAACTAGGACAATGTCTTTAGGGCACCAAATTCAGACCCTGGCACATAGTAGGGATACACTCGATTTAGGGATCTTCTCCCTCCCTCCCTTCTCCCCAGAACTCATTGGTCAGGAAAACACAGTGGTTTTTGTATATCTACATGACACTTACTTAACCTGTAAGGAAGGACGTGGTTGCCCGGTAGTTGGTAGTCTCATTGCCATCTTCTATACTTTTCATGTTCTGCCCAGACTCTATTTTCTAGCCCCTCATCAGCCCATCACAGGCTCTACCAACCCCACCAACTTCAAAAGAGCAAGCTTACCTTCTTGAAGTAATCAGCAAGGCTGTCGGAGTCCCAGGCCAGGACCTCTGACCGAAAGGGTACATTCCTCAATGCCATGACGGCTCTTTCCTGGGAGGAAGCTCACGAGCTCAGCAGGGATGGTGCACCCATGGACAGAGAAGCCCAAATACAGAGCTTGGCAGTGTCCTTGACTCTTCCAACTCCTAAGTACCTTCTGGAACACCCTTATTGGAGCAGACACCTTTTCTGTTGTAGTCAGATCCCAGAAAGTAACGGCTTCCTCTGCGAACAAATATGGTCTCTTCTCAGAAACCGACTCAGCTAGTTTCCTTTACCACTTCCTCTGCTAGGCTCTAAATAAGTAAACAAGGAAGCCCAGTTCTGGGTGCTTGAGATGCAGGGAGAGTGACAGGACTGGTAATTCCCCACTGGCCCAGTCCCCCCAGCTGAGAGGCAGAGAGATGAAGGGGACTTAAACTCCAACAGGAGTCGAAGTGCTTTTCCATGAAAACTTCTGGTATCCGTGTGTCCACATCACATTCCTGCTAGGCTGAGTCTTTGCAGATGAAAATCCATTCTAACTGTTGACCTAAAATAGAGACAATTTCCCACATCAGTCAACTGCTGGGTAAAGGAATGTGGTCTTTCATGCTTCCCAACACCTTTCCAGTCCCACCTTCAATCCTATCAAAGGAACAAAGTTGAGAGTCCCTCTACTGCCTCCTAACACTTATTATGAGAGGCTTTTTGGTGATAGGAAGAATATGGAGTCCAAGGGTTGACAAAGTGCTGCACTGGGAGATTTTTTAATATCAGTACTTCCATGGTGGCTAAGGCACTTGACTGCTAACCAGAAGGCTGGTGCTTCAAACCCACCAGCCACTCCTCAGAAGGAAGATGGGGCAATTTACTTCCGTAGTGATACCGCCTCGGAAACCCAAGGAAAGGTCGCTATGAGTCAAGTCCGACTCAACGGTACATAACAACAACAACAAACTTCCATACTGGGCAGCCTCAGGCAAAAGCTGAGTCTCTGAGAATCTCAGTTTCCAAATCTGTAACATAGGGAAATAGAAGAATTGCCTCATATGCACATATAACTTAACTGGGTTTAACTAAACAAACATGAAAAAACAAAAATTGAAAAAAAAAATTAATGATGGCTATTGATACTGACCCTGGGTGATGCAAACAGCTAATGTGCTTGGTTGCTAATTGAAAGGTTGGCGGTTCAAGTTCACCCTGAGGCACCTCAGATGAAGGTGTGGTGATTTACTAACAACAACAACAACAACAAAACAGCCTTTGAAAACCCTCTGGAGCATAGTTCTACTCTGACATACGTGGGGTTGCCAAAAGCCAGAATCGACTTGACATGTTTTTATTGACGCTGACCTATATTCTGCTCACTATTGATTTCAACATCTATTCTATTCAAAGAGCACATTCCCTGAAGTAGTCTTGAGATAAGGCATGCAAGGCAATCTGCTGTTTTCTTAGTTGGCTCAAGCTCTGTGCATCTCACATAATTTAAGCACATTGTTGCAGTGTGAGTAGAGTGTTTAAAGACAAATGTGTTTGTGCAACATGGCAGCCTCTGAATACAACTCAGCTACTTTCATCTAGTGCTCCATGCACACAAATACTCAGTTGTCTGTCCTAGTGCTTGAGGAGAAAAATGAGCTCTCTTGCATTTCCTGGGTGATGCTATGCTCATTCCTGAGGTAGTGCCTTCTAAAAGCTCTTTAAAGAGTAAGTTTGGTCATGTACAGCTCCCATCTCACACACTACCTCAGGAAACTCCCTCACTGTATTTACTGTATTTGCACCTACCTTACTGCAGAGTGGCTTGAACCATCAACCTTCTGGTTAGCAGTTAAATGCCTTAGGCACTATGTCACCAGAACTCCTTTTTTTTTTTTTTTGGTGGGGGGAGGTTACCAGGTAGCAGTAAGCATTGCATGAGATAAATTCTTAGCCTCATGCCAGGATGTGGGAAGTGAGCTGGTGTCAGCCTCATTCAGAGGTTCTGGGATCTTTAATCGAAGTAGCCTATACCAAGTGCACCTCTCAGGATTTAGTGTCTCGTAAAAAGGGAAGACACTCAATGAAATGGATTGACCCAGTGGCTGCAACAATAGGTTCAAGCATAGCAAGGATTGTGAGGATGGCGTAGGATCGGGCAGTGTTTCTTTCTGTTGTACACAGGTTTGCTATGAGTTGGAATCGAATTGATGGCACCTAATAACAACAAAAACAAGATGCCCAATAAATGAGTGTGCTCTACAAAGCTTGTCTCTGCTGCTCAGAAACTCTTCTTTTATGGGAAAAGACACATATCTTCTCAGATCACTGTAATAACAGAAGATGATAAAAAGCCACTTGAAATAGGAGGGAAAGAGATAAATCACTTCAGAATAGAACAATCAAAGAAGACTTCATGAAATTAGCTGGGAGTTAAGCAGGACCTGGGAGGATGGAGCAGAGAGGAAGGCATGTGTGTATGTTAGTGTGTGTCTATGTGTGTATGTTTGAGTGCATATTTGTGTGTGCATGAATGATGGGGTGAACTTTGTGAGCAAAAGAAACCCACGTGATACCTGTGGAAAGGAGCATTCAAGATCATTTTTCAAAGTCAAAGAAAGCAGTTTTTTAAAACATTAATTTTCACTACTAATTAGGAGAATGGCCAGACTGTCTCACCTACTTTGGTCATTCCCTGGAGAAGGATATCATGCCTGGTAAAGTGGAGGGTCAATGAAGAAAGTGAAGATCCTCATTAAGATGGATTGCCATAGTGGCTGCAACAATGGGCTCAGGTATAGCAAGGAATGGGAGGCTGCCACAGCTGAATTGGCAGCACCTAACAACAACAATAACAACACTAATTAGGAGAAGAAAACTACAGAAAAGCAGAAGTCTGGATTAGATATTGCTAAATATTAAAACAAACAAACAAAAGCAAATAAACTCATTGCCATCAGAGTGAATCCGACTCATAGAAACAGTATATGACAGAGAAGAACCACCCCACAGGGTTTCCAAGGCTGTAAGTCTTTACAGAAACAGACTGTCACATCTTTTTCAAGGAGCTGTTGTTGAGTTCAAACCACCCACCTTTTGGTTCACAGACAAGCACTTAACCACTGCATCCCTTTAGAAGAGTTATCTAATAGATGTGGCCAGGATGGGCCATCCTCGAAGTTCCTTTAGGAACTAAACAACAGTAAAGAAAGGATTATGTTAATGATGGCAAAGATAAGAATCACAACAGATGCAATGCAGCAACCCTTTCACATGTGCCAGGGAGAGTGCTAAGTATTTTGCATGAATTATTTAATTCTTGGCCTTGTTATTGCTCTTACTTTACAGGAGAGAGAACTGAGGCTCAGAGAAATGAAGCAACTTGCCATCTTGCACCTGCAAATAGGTTGTGTGGCTGGGTCTCATGTAAAGTTTCTCTGAGTCCAGAGCCCAAGTTCTTTACCACGAGGCCACCTCAGGGCTCTGAGAGATTATGTTCATTGCCTAAGGTGGAGAAAGGTTTCAAATACAGCTTGTGTGGTTTCCTTTCTCTCATTCTGACTCCCACGAGGAGCAAGTAAGGTAATTGGTCTGAAAAAGCTTTGAAAAGGACACAGCACTTTCCACAAAATGAGCACTTGAGTGCCATCTTCCCATGAACCCACAAGTTCACTCCTCAGACAGGGCAGCTAAGCAGGCGTGAGCAGCTGACACAAGGGGAAGTGCATTGCTTCAGGCCTGGAGCCTTTCCTCGTCTCCAGGCCTCAGTGATTTCCCAATGCTTAGAAGTTTCACATCTCTTGTCTGGGCCAAGAGGGTTCCAGAAGCTCCCAGTGCAGGACGGGTCAAGCCCAGGAGAGTTCAGGACACCAGCAAGGCCAGTGTGGGCCTGTATAGTCCAGCTCAGGTCAACAGGGGCAGTCATAAGACCAGCCACTAGTATAGTCCCCAGTGGATAGGATGTCATGGTGCTAAAGGCCATGCCAACTCGTGGTTTGGTCCAAATGTGAAGCAGAGCAGAGGGTGGGAGCAGGTGAAGCACAGCTATTTGAAGTTATGTCCCTTTGGTTGGTATACCCTCTCCCATTTCTCTCTCCTCAATTAGGTGCAGAAACCCAGAACTTAGTAAGAAGCTAATTAAAAGCTTACCAGAAGGCTTTTGAGGCTTCAGAATACAATGAAACCTGTGAGAGCTGGAACTCTCTGCCTTGGTTTTCCAGGTCTTGCAAGTTTTCTGCCTTTGACAGGATGAGTCACCACTTTTCTATTGCTCTGTATTAGTGGAAAATATTGAGTATTCCTTCTCAGACAGCTTTCCACTTTACACAGACTCTGGCTTTGGAGGTTTTACTGTATATCTTACAGCTAGAAAGGGGGCAAGCCATCTCTGAGCATCATAAGAACAGAGTTATGCTAGTACACAGAGATGGGGTTCAGGGTACCTTGCATGTGTACCCCATGGAAGCTGTGACCAAGAAAGCAATCCTTACAGGGAATGGTCATCAGATGTTTGAGATCTTAGGGACAAAAAAGTGGATGTAGGAACAGCAAACTGAAACTCAGAGTGGAAGATTACTCCAATATTCTTCTGTTCCCCATCCCACAACTTCCAGACTTGAAACTTCTTCTTTTTCCCTCTATCTCATAACAGAATCAGATGGAGGAGATAAATATCTTCCCTCACAGTGAAGGTTAAACCAGTTGCCACTGAGTTGATTTCGACCATCGTGAAGCCGTGTGTGTCAAAGTAGAACCATGCTCCATGGGGTTCTCAATGCATGCTTGTTCCAAAGCAGGTCACACTGGCCTTTCTTCTGATCTGCCTCTGGGCCTTTCTTCTGATCTGCCTCCAGGTGGACTTGAACCTCTCCATTAGCAACGTCACACATTACCCATTTGTACCACCCAGGCAGTCTACATTCTAAAGTTAGGGGTGAAGAAAATACACAATTCATTAAGAGATAGGAGTTGCAGTTTCTGTGTGTGTTAGGGTGTGGTGAGGGGAGAGGTCTGAGGAGTTGTAGCTCAGGGACCTGGGGAGAATGAAAGTAGGGACTTCACAGGGGAGAATG